GAGTACGTCCACTTCGAGGGAGCTAGGGGAGTAGGCAGCTCTTCTTCGGTGAGCGCGTCTACCCCAGTCCCCGAGCCTCCACCGACCCCGGCGCTTGCTACTCCAATAGCACCACACTCTCCAACCAGGACCTCGGCTGCGATGAGTCCTTCGCCGACTCCACCACAGCCGACAACGCCATGCACTCCAGCACCGACAGGCACCTCTCCGGGCACGTCTACTCCAACACCAGCTCATGTCGAGCACAGCCCGGTTGAGCTCGCTACTCCGCTCTCTCACGACGAGGAGCGCATCGACGCGTACCACGACAGCGAGCCGTTGTGGTACCATACGATGGAAAACCTTCTCAACGACCAACCGGTGCTAGGACTGGTGCCTCACGACCTGGAGGACCTGGAGGCGCAGTTGCATCTTGCATGTGACAACGGCGAGCCTCAGTCATTTGCAGAGGCCGAGAGACACGCGACATGACGTGCCGCGATGTAGTTGGAGATGGATGCAGTTGAGAACAACTGCACCTGGGAGCTTGCTGACCTTCCTCGTGGTCACCACGCGATCACCCTTAAGTGGGTGTACAAGCTGAAAAGGGATGAAGCCGGCGCTATCGTCAAGCACAAGGCTCGCTTGGTGGCACGAGGTTTCGTGCAGCAGGAGGGGGTCGACTTCGACGACGCCTTCACTCCCGTGGCACGGATGGAGTCTGTGCGACTCCTCCTTTCGCTAGCTGCCCAGGAGGGCTGGCATGTTCATCACATGGACGTCAAGTCGGCGTTCCTTAACGGCGACTTGAAGGAGGAGGTCTACTTGCACCAGCCACCAGGATTTGCGATCCCCGGCAAGGAGGACAAGGTGCTCTGCCTACGCAAGGCCCTCTATGGCTTGCGGTAGGCACCGAGGGCGTGGAATGCCAAGTTGGATTCCACGCTAAAGGGGATGGGCTTCGAGCAAAGCCCGCACGAGGCGGTCATCTACCGATGGGGCAGTGGAGGAAATGCTCTGCTGGTGGGTGTCTACGTCGACGACTTGGTGATCACCGACACCAAGGATGCGGAGATGGCGGCATTCAAGGAAGAGATGAAGGCCACCTTCCAGATGAGTGACCTGAGGCCTCTCTCCTTCTACCTGGGAATTGAGGTGCACCAGGATGACTCCGGGATCACTCTTTGACAGACTGCCTACACCAAGCGCGTCGTTGAGCTAGCTGGGCTCACTGACTGCAACCTAGCTCTCACTCCGATGGAGGAGAGGCTGAAGCTGAGCCGCGACAGCACGACGGAGGAGGTGGACGCTACGCAGTATCGATGTCTTGTGGGGAGCCTTCGCTACCTTGCCCACACACGGCCGGACTTGGTATTCTCCATCGGCTACGTTAGTCAGTTCATGCAGTGACTGATGATGGAGCACCAACAGGCTGTGAAGAGGATCATCCGCTACGTTGCGAGAACTCTCGATCACGGCCTCTACTACCTTAGGTGCCCTGGGGTGGCACACTTCATCGGGTACAACGACAACGACCATGCTTACGACATCAACACCAACAAGAGCACGAGCGAGATCCTCTTCTTCCTCGGCAAGTGCCTCGTTAGCTGGCAGTCGGTCAAGCAACAGGTGGTGGCCCTGTCCAGTTACGAGGCCGAGTACATAGCGGCCTCCGCCGCTTCGACTCAGGTGCTCTGGCTCGCTCGACTGCTTGGTGATCTCCTTGGTAGAGACACTAGAGCGGTGGAGCTCAGGGTGGACAGCAAGTCCGCTTTGGCCCTGGCAAAGAACCCCATTTTCCATGAACGCAACAAGCACATCCGGGTGAGGTACCACTTCATCCGAGGCTGTTTGGAGGAAGGGAGCATCAAGGTGAGCTACATCAACACCAAGGACCAGCTTGCGGACCTACTCACCAAGCCCCTTAGGAGGATCAAGTTCTTTGAGCTCTGCTCGAGGACCGGGATGGTTCAACTTTCCCATAAGACGATGCACAAGACTTAGGGGGAGAATGATTGATAAGTCTCTGTGGTCTTTATGGGGCTGCAACAGTCTTTGTGGGGCTACAGCATATGGCCCTCAAGGACAGCATCCTTGACTAGAGGACAGCAGCATTCTTGACTGGAGGACAGCAGCAGTGGCCCTGACTAAAGGACAGCAGCAGCAGCATCCTTGACTAGCATCTTAGCATCTAGGACTAGCATCTAGGACAACATCTAGACATATGCTTGGCTGGCTAGCAACCTATAAATATGTATCTCCAACCTCTCAGGTTGACATGGCATTTATATGAGTTGTATGAGAAATAAACCAGAAAATTGCCCCAACTCCTAGTGTCATCCTCTCTCGATGAGAGTAAGGATTCTGCTACTACCAAGAATAAGAATTCAGCGACTAACATACAACCCAACAACAAAACACTCGGCATAGGAGTAGAGGCAAACATGGTAATACACCTGCTGAATGGCCCACCAAGCAGCTCAGACAGGCTTGCAGGAGCCATCGTTGCAACCGACACTGGGGTAACCAGCTTGGAAGTGACATCCATGGCAAGCTTGAGGCCGTTGCATGGTGCCCATGATTCCCTGTCAGTAGCATGAGCATGGAGCACCACGACAGACATCAAAGCAGCATACTAAGAGAACACTGGTGCCTGCTCGCTTGCTGTCGTAGTTCATCGACGGTGCGACATTTCATCAAACACCCCTTGGCACAAATGGAGATGGTGGCAGGCTTACTCAAGGCTACAACCCAGACCCTTGGCGGCTCATAGCCATGGTTGGGAGGCGCCGTGGACGATGAACGCGGGCGTTGGGGAAAAGGTCGTAGACCGCGTCCACCGCCTTATCGAACAGCCAGTAGAGCCGATGCCGCTCCTCGACAGGCATGGAGGTGATGTCCACGCAGACACGGCCGCCGACCATACCATGCGAGATGCCAGGGAGGACGCCACTTGAGATGCCAGAGTAGATGCCTCCGCCGCTCGTTCGTCGCATGCCGAGCATGCATGCATGGCTGAGGCAGACGCGGAGGAGCAGGCCGCAGTCCCCGAAGCTAAGGCAGGCGTGGAGGAGCACGCCGTGGTCTGTGAAACTGAGGTAGGCGTGGAGGAGAACGCCAAGGTCGGCGAAGCCGAGGTAGGCGCGGGGAAGCACTGCCGCGGTCGGCGCAGCCGAAATGGGTGCGTGGAGGAGAATGCCACGGTCGACGAAGCCGAGACGGGCGCGCAGGAGCACGCTGCGGTCGGTGGAGCCGGAGTGGGCGCGGAAGTGAGCGAGACGAGGTCGTCCTAAAGAAGCTGGTACTGGAGTGACGGCCTGGGCTCTCCCGGGCGAAGAGTGCGGGTGCGTCGACGACATAGGTGGCGTAGGGAAAGAGGAGCGACGCTGGAAGCTGCGCTAGAACGAGCGTCGGACCCTGCTCAGCTTGGTCGCCGAGAAGGTGTGCGGAGAGGTCGGTTTCGATGGGATCGACCATGGTGGGGTGGTCGATGACGGTGGCTAGGCGGCGAGGACTCTCCGTGGTGTCGAGCGTTGTTGGACCGCCTCAGGGTAGGGCTCGTCGGTGGAGAAGGCGACAGACGCGAGCTCGAGGGAGATGTCGGCGCCGTCAGCAGCGTCGATGGCGACGACTCCTCTTGGTTGTGGGCAGGCTGCTCGAACAGTCCACCCCAGTGGTCGGCGACGATGGATCGTGCCCCGCAGTAGTGCTGCTCGTCGGAGTCGTCGCCTTGGTTGAAGAGGCCGCCCCAGTTGTCGGCGACTACGTCGGCTCCGAGGGCAGCGGACTGGGTCGAAACGGTGATGCCCTGGGAGGCCTCCCGCATGGCGTCCTGCTCGACCCACCTCGCGTCGAACTTGTCGAACAGCTTGTGGAGTTTGCGGAGTTCGTCGAGGATGAGTTGGGTGGAAGGAGAGATCTCGGAGGGGGATTCATGGTGCTAGCAACCGAGAATCGACGGCTCTGCCAATTGTTACCAACCTGGTACTAGATTGCAGAGAATAGGAGAGGATCAGAAGAGGAAGTAGTAGAATCTCAGGGTATCGAGAGGAAGAAGAGAAACAGTAAGAGGGGAGAGTTTCATGAAGGGAGATAACCTGTTGGTTAATTGGTTCTGTAATGTTTGATGCCCTTCTCGTTGTTGACCCTTGACATATGTAATCTCCCATCCAATATCTGGACTGGGCTCGAGGCCCATGGCCCATATGACTGTCCCAACCATGGCTAGTTCCTAACAATACGATTCCTTTTTTTAAGGAGAAGCGGAAGCTGATCTTATATTTGATTCTATGGATTCTAAAGAGAAGCGGGGGAAGCAGAGGAGAAGTGGGAGAAGCCGCTCTCAACAAAATCTGGTCCAAGTGATCTGGGCCGCACGATCGAAGATCCAATGGCTAAAACATTTAGGGTGACGTGGCGTCTGGTTCTCTTCGAGGAGTCGACGCATTCTTTAGTGGAGAAATGCAATCACCTGTTCATTTGTTGGTTTCGGCCAGGGCTTATCAGCCAACCAACAGTGTTTTCCTTTCACGACAAACCAGCAACAGCCGGACTTATCAGCCCAGAAACTAATCAGCGAACATGCTCAATATTTAGTGTGTATTTATGTTTTTTACTATAAGGCTTGTTTTTTCAGATATTTGAGTAGCCTATCCAACTCGATTAAGACTAAAGGTTTTGTTATCGTAGTTGTATATAAATATTAAAATCAAATGAATTCATAAATTTTTTAAAATAATCAAATACACCCTGTTTTCACATACTATTTTTTAAAAGCAACACCATGTTTTTTTAGGAAAAAAACAACACAGATTTGCGAGTATATGAGACTAAAGCCCAGATACGGAAAAAACTTCCAAAGAAGGCCCAACTCGGCATCTGGACTGTTTGTTCTGAAAGCCCTGCGCCCCTGCTCCGACCGCGACCACACTCCATCTCGCCGCCCAAACCCCACTCTCTCCAAAACCCTCCTTCCCGCGGCGGCCGCCGGCGTAGCTGACGCCGACGCCGGCGAGGCAGCCATGGCCGCCCCCGCCGCCCGGAGGATAGTCGGCGCTGAGGTTCCCATACCCGGCTCGGACAAGCTGCGGTGGATCGACCTCACCATCCCCTCCTCCTCCGCCGCGCCGGCGAGCCCCTCCGATCCCTTCGTCCTCGTGCCCCCACGCGCCGCCTCAGGGTGCCACATCATTCCTTCCGGCGATTCTCAGTATTACCTCTCGTGGTACGTGTCGGGGCTTCTCCTCACTTTCGAGCTCTATATCATGGTTCTGTTCAGATGAGTGGCACATTTTGTTAGCTGGACATCGCGCAGATTAGACTTAGCTTCGAATAGTTTTGGCCTTCGGAGTTGTCTGTGCTCATGTGTCATGTTTATGTGATATGAATCCTTTTAGAACTATAACTTAAATAAGTGCACTTTCAGTATTGCTTTGGTACTTGCCATGTTTAGAGAAACCCTAGGTTCATAGTAGGTGGGGATTTTCTGAATGGAGCATATGGTTGCCGTCTTACAGGAGGATTCACGAGGAACACCCAAATGTGCTAGAGGTCATCGAGCTTAGTGCCTCCAAGGAGTTCCCTAGCTTTGGGTTGCGGTTGGTCTTCCAGGAGGCGCTATGTCCATTTGCATTTTTATGTGAAAAAGAGGTTGGCTCATTCATGACATTTTATGCCAATTGTTTGTTTTCAGTAACTTTCTGGAACATTAGAGACTAGACTAGTCACTTCTGTGGCAATGCAGGGTCGCAGGCAAGGGGAGCTTGTATATATGCTATATGTGCTTACCATTTCTGGAGTTGCTCTCTTGTGCCACTTACGCAGTCCATTTTCCTACGTATCTGGTTCAGTGATGCATCAGGATGATATAGTTGAGTTTAGTCTCCAAACTCAAGCTCAGAGTGCAAAGGTTACAGCGGTAACAGCGAAGCCAGGATGTATAGTGATTGGTCGACAAGATGGGTCCATCTGTTCTAACAGTCTTGGCAAATTAGCCCCGAACTCACCAGGCATGTGCTCTACTGTCAATTCACAGCAGCAAACTCATTGTTCCGCGGATTTATTGGGTTCCAGATGATTGAACTTGGGGCCTTCTTCTGTAACTCTCCCCGAGGTTTCTGAATGTTATTGTCTTCTACTGTAGGTTTCTCGAATGAACTACGAGATGATGCTGGGATTGGACGTTTATGGACTCTCGTGTCAAGGTACTATCTTGGATTCTTGGTTATAATGGTCCACCAAGCAATAAAGGCATGATCAGCTTAGCAACACGAGAATTGTTGCTAGAACATCTACTGTTTTCATGTTTCGCTATTAGCCATTGCCCCAGCTGCATAGATATTTTCAGAGACTACCATAGCATAGGAAGAAGGAACAGCATGTGCAGTGTTCATATGCTTGTTGACTCAAATGACACTTCCATTTGTTGCTGCTATTCTGATGGTAGTATATTTGTATACGTGAATGAGTTCCAGTTTACTTTAAAGATTCTTTAGTTGTTCTACATCACATGTTTTGTATTTTTGTATCTTTTTGCATGAAATTTACCTACATTATTTTGCAGAACAAAGACTGTGGGTCCTGTGCAGGATATAGTGGCAACTGTTGTAAATGAAAGGGACCTGTTATTTGTTCTTCATTTGGATGGACACTTGCGCATATGGGATAATCACATGAAACTTCTCAACTATAATGTTCACTCAAATGATATGGAAGGTAATGTCTATGTTATTTGTTCTTTGTAAGCAATGCTGCTCTTTTTACAATACATGCAATGTTGTTGTGACACGTGTAAGCCACGATCTACATCCTTAAGTTAGTTCTGCTTCCAGCCTCATATCCAATTTACCCAAGCTGCTGGTATCCCATGTATATACTATTGTTGGATGGCATATAATTTTTGTGTGGTGGGCTGATGATAGCTTTATCTGTGCATGCTTGTTTCAGTGAGCTCATTGACATTGCTTTAAATGTGGAAAAAGTACAGTGAGGGTCAACTGTAACTTACATGCCACTATGCCAGTTTTATTTTTATTTTTGCAATAGTGCTATCTAAGAGTTAAGGGAAGGGTTTGATTGAACAATTTGAGATGCATAAAGAATAATTATTTCATGAATAAACTTGTGCAGTTGGGCTTTGTTGATGCATTGCAATTTTGCGGTCGCCTCTACAACGCTGTCCCTTGTTTGGAAACCATGGTTTCGCAAAAACGAGTTTAAACTTTGCTTGCACATAATGCTGTTCTTGAGCAGTTATATCTATTGACAAGTTCTCTTTATCTCAGGTCATCCGTCCAGGCTATGGGTTGGTGAGGCTGATGATGATCAAGAGTTGATATCCTTGGCAATTCTGCATCAGAACACTGTGGTATGTCAAGAATGTTGTCTCACCAGTTATTTACTTGCTCATCTGCCATTCAAAAAATCGAGTATACTAGTACAACATAAGAACATAGCCTACGTTTGTAGTGATAAATTACTAGGTAACTCCACTTTTTGAAAACGGTAACAGAATGTTCTATTCTAGGTGTAACGTTAATCTGAAGTTGTGAAGTGTATCATGTTAGATGTGTCTATTGTATATGTATTTAGTCAATAGTCACTAGTGTAGGGTGCTATCTGCACTTTGTACATCTTCATATGTGGCCCCTTTGGGCATTGCAATAGATGAGTTTTGCATTCCTAACATATCAAATGTGCATACTATGTGCCAGGAATATCTCCAAACTAATTGCAAGCTGTGCCTTGTCAGTGTTTTCATGTTGGCAAACCACTTCATCTGAATGTGATTGAGAGTAAAGAAAACTTTTTCTACCATGTTGAGCAAAAGGAGTTGGACAGATTAGTGATGGCAGCTGGATTAGTTTCGAGGTTGCCTTGGTTAGTATAGTATCAAGATTGACTAATGAATTGGTGACAATGTGACATATGATACATTACTGTGAAACATTATTGTCCCTATAAGATGGTGATATTTACTAGCTGTGGACTATATAACCACAACCTGGTGATTATCTTATGCTAACTTCAGCCGGTAATAAATGATGTTCCAACTTCCATCAGCAGAAGTAGACTTGCTGCTAGTACAAAGTACAAACCTCCTGTCAGAAACTTAAATGTTGGATCTGTTATTCTACCCTTTGCTTGTGCTCATGTTTGTCACTTCATGAAATCTAATTTTTCTATTGTGGATTGTTCGTCATTGTATGACGACATACCGTGATGGAAAATGTTATCTTTTCTCATCATTATTGCTGCAAAGAGCTGACTGGTTAATATTATGATATTTTAAAGGTTCAAGATTGTGATTATGTTGCTGTGTATGGCTTCAGTTTTTCTGCTGCGGAAAGGTTCATGTTCTCTTCTGAACCTTCAATTTCTACTATACCTTTGCTAGAGGTAAAACACCACTGCTAGTTTGTTGACATTCTTCAACAAACTTTATTTTTGCAAGATTTCCATCTACTTAACTAATTGGAAATGAATCGGATGAAGGTTGATGTAGAGTTATCTTAATCTTGCCAATCAGTTACTATGGAGTATGGAGTTTCAAATATGTTATATTTTTATGCATTTCTGCTGAAGATACTATGCGTCATCCTTATATTTTCAAAAGTAGGTTTCCAAATATTTATGCATTTTCTTGGAAGACAACATTGATGCATCGTTGTTCCTTATATTTTTAAAATAATAGCACCCCCACCCCCAAAATAAAAAATAAAAAATCCCACTGTAGGAAAATCAGAATTGCTTTCCTTGTGTCTGGTTATTCTATTTAACCTATCACATTTGCTGCCCACAGATAGCTAATATTTCTAACCTTCTTACTCAGGGGAAGCTTGTGGACTTGAAAATAGCCACGGATAAGCTTTGGATACTTAAAGAATTTGGCTCCATGCTATATGAAATATTGCAGTATGACACCGAAACGTAAGTCTGTTGTACCTCATTGTTGTCACTATGTTCCATTGCAATCCTTCAACCAGTGTTAGATTGGTATTTATTTATTATGTAACTTGATAACTTCTGTTGTGCCATCAAATTGGAACTAAGCATCTCTTATTCAATGAGCTCGATTAGTGTATGATCAACAAAAGGCTAGCTAACTAACATGTATTACAGAACACACAACTCTTATTTTTTCGTTGTATCATATACTAGCAAACGTGTCCGTGCGTTGCAACGGAACCCAATACGTATAGGAATCGGACTCTGTATCATCGCTAGATGCGAGTTGTTCTAACTCGTATGAGCGCCGGTCATGAGTCCAGAGTCACATACGAGCTACGTAGGGCGTGACCCAATATGTATTGTAATCAGACATCATATTCATCATCGCTTACTCGAGTTGTCATAACTCGTATGAGTATGAGTCATGAGTCCGGGTCACATGCGAGACATGGAGGGCGTGAGTGCAGTTTGAGAAGTAAAAAAGTGGGATGGAAGAAACTCTCCACTATGTGGGTAATTGTGGGGAGGTGGACGGAAAAAATGGGTGGAGAGAAATTTTGTCTCTTTAATATTATTAGGTATAGATATTATCAACTTTATACACAAAAATTTGTAAGCCTGCATGCAGTAACATATCATACCTCCATAAATTCTTGGGGAATATTCGGGCGTGCACATGTGTAATCTTTAGTCAGTATTTGGTTTCCTTTCTTACGTAAATTCTAGACACAGTAGCTGAATTATATCGAGTAATGTTAATGGATTGGGCCATTTTTATTTATAGTGTAAATGTTGCAGTGAGAAGATTTGCTGTTATGTGCTACAAGAAGATGCTATCAGTGAACTGTTGTTTCAAAGTTCTGACAATGCATTGGATGATTTGGTCTGGACAGCTGATTCAATGTTCTCCTCCTTGAAGGTAGCTGTAATTTCTTTATGGACAGTTCAAATTTCATCTGGAACACAGATATGTTTCAATGATTTTATCATTTAGGTTAATGAATTATGTTTAACTTGAAACATGAGCTTGCTACTTTGCACTGCTGTTAGGTTTTTGTTATCTTTTCCTTTAAATTGAGTGATCTGCTGATGTACATTAGTTATAATACACTTGGTCTCTGGAACTCCAGAGATTATTCAGCGTACATTTGTTCTCAACTGTTGAACATTTCTCTTTGTAATTAGATATTCATACTCCCATAGTAATTTATGCTGTTCGTAATTTTGTTTAATTTAAGATTGTAACCAATTTGATCCCTCCACTTGTCTTCTTGTCTCATTTTTTTGATCTTATAAGTTTCAAAATGACCAATTTTATCAGCACTACTGAACCTGTCTTTTCAAGTGAGAAATGTCATTATTCAGTCAGTAATTTCTACACCTGTGCAGAATATATTGTTTAGCATTTCAGAACTCTTCCATGCAGTTTTGTCTCCACCTTTTTTGTGTGTGTTTTTGTGACTGTAGAGCACTTCAATATCCTTAGCTTTCTATACATCTTCGGTATCTGTAGGAGCAGGCTTTCACTTTTATTTCATCCATGTTTCTGCGGAGGCTACTTCAACCAGGAGTAAACCACTGTTCTGCCCTGCGTGAAACCTTATTAGAGCACAAAAGGTTCCTGTCGGATTCTGAGTTCCAGTCACTTACAGCAAATGGGCTACGAAAAGAGATATTATCTATTATAGAACAAGAGGTAATCTTTTTTTTTTTGTCTTTTGTTTTGTTCCTTTAAGGCTTCTATTTTCTAGTTTTCCTGTATAGCTGAATTTCCAGAATTCTTTTGGTTTTAGGGAAGTTCACAGACAGCAAGCGCTACAGCTTATCACTGGAAACAATTCTCTGCACGGTACCTCCACAATTGGTGCTGGAACAATAAGCCATATGGGTTGCTTCTTGATACTAAAAATGAAGTGTTTGGTTTAATAAGAAAGGGTTCATTTTCTCTATTCCGTTGTTTGGAGGGTGTGGAAATGCTTATTTATGGTGTGATTCTTTCTTAGTATTTCTGCAATAAATTTCAGCTTATCTGTTGGGAGCAATTAGGTAATGCTACTTAGCCTAACATTTCAGGTTCATCTGATGAATTGCGCAATATTGATGACCTTGGGATGAACTTATTGGATGACATATCTGATTTTGAACTCCTCAATGAGGTCCTCAGATGCATGGGCCATATACACCATTTACTGGGGAGATCTTCCATAGCAGTATACTACGAATCCCTAATTAGTTCTATTATATCGTCTGATGAAGTTGCTTCACATATAGTAAAGATTCTAGAGACGGGTTTTAGTCCTCAATCATCCTCATCCCTCATTGCATTACTTGGAACGGATACTTATGTAGAAAGAAGGCAGGCAGCTCACAAAAGTCAAAGGAAGTTTTCTGTTGAGATGTTACTATCTTTTCAAAAGTTGCAATCAAGATCCGCATCCTGGTCGGCAGTATTCGATGTGATCGAGAAGTTTATGAAGTGTTTGAACACAAACATGAGCGTCCAAGAGTATGGATCAAAGAGAGTTTGTAATGTAAATTCTGTGTTACTAGTTCAAGCTACTTCACAGGTTGCAAGAACAATGTTTGAGTGTGCATTTGATCTGTTTCTGTTCCTTAGTTATCTGGTTGGTGTTGGTGGCCAGGTATGCTATAACTTTTGATTTTTGATATTTCTGTCTGCTGTGTACCATAACTTCGCCTACCCCAACTTGCTTGGGACTAAAAGGCTTTGTTGTTGTTGTTGTTGTTGTTGTTGTTGTTGTTGTTGTTCCATAACTTCAACTTTGCTTCTTCGACCATGTATACTCATATAGTTTAAGATACACATTTTTGAGCTTTCATGAGCATGCTTGCCTTATCTCAGCTGTAACTTACAATAGCTGGTCAGAACTCTCAAGAACTTTGGCCATTAGTGGGATTTTGGGCTGCTGAACCAATCTTGTCCACATGCTATATGGCTAACTACCAACAATTGCTATGGTCTCAAAATCAGGCAGATGGATATTTGCTATTTACATGCCCTTTCAGAACGCCATCGTAACACCCTAAGGCCTGTGGGCTCAAATTGTTCATTCCATATGCAAAATATTAAGTGACAATGCCTGTTTTTTAATCTTGTACCCCTTTGCTTCTAGTTTGAAAATTGCAAGTTATTCATTGATACAGTTATTCTTCAATGTCTTTTTCTTTCTTTCTTTGGTAATATAATAATTTGTGAATCAGGTCTCCTTGTTGCAAAGTGATGTTGCCAGAATAAAACTGAAGTTGTTCCCAATGATTCAAGACATATTGGGACAGTGGATTGTTCTCCACTTTGTAGGAATCTCACCAACCTCACCACCAACCATTGACGATTTTAGCTATCAACTTTCTTCTCTTCAGCTTGGTAATACCTAAAAGATACGATTGTGGTCCTAACTTTGTTGTTGATTAAGATATGATTGTAGTCTTACCTTTGTTGTTGATACACATTTTTTGAATGGGCATCCTGCAGTACATTTAGTATCTTAATGTGCTCTGTTTTTATAATGGTGTAATGAGTCCATACCTAAGGACATAACTTGTCAGTTTGGTGTTTTGTAATGGCATTCACAAGGTTTTGTCTATTGTATTTTAGGGACAGTTTTTTGTGATCATTAGCTAGTATATTCTATAGGACAATGGAGACCCTGGTCTATTGTGATTTTGTGAATTTGCTTTAACTAACTGTACAAACTCCTTTGCCTCGAAATATGTTTCCTGTGCAAGAGCCCAAAGAATGTTTTGTTAACTTCACATTCACTCGTTTTAAAACTTGTATTCCTCCTTTGATTACATTAAACGTAAGGTTTTCTTTGACAAACTGCAAAAATATTGAGAACAAGGGTACTGTGGTGTATTGCCTCTGATTGTACACATTTTTAATCCAGATAAAAAAAGCCTAAATTTCACTAGCTTTAGACAATAGGCAACTAACTATCATTAACTCAGCTTGCCCCCAATTTACTTTCCTGGGCCAATTACAGATATGTGTTGTTTTCTTGCCCTCTCAAGCAGGAAAAAATTGCAAAAATGACACTCGAAAGATTGACTCCTTGATTATGATGCCACTCGGACGGATGACAAGTGGGTCCATCTGTGTCTATGAATGTGGGTCCAGTGTCAAATCTGCAAACGACCGATGTTTCGAGTCCCAATTTTGCAAATCGCCCAGCAGGCAGTAGGGACTTACTGAGGGAAATGCTTAATCTGAGGGGAGTCCAAATGCCCCCACTTGAAGTGCTAATGAAATACTAACTAATCTGCCCCCTCTCCTTTCATGCCCAAGCTCTGCCACTGCTCCCAGGACTGAACATGATTTCTTTGTTTGAGAGAGAGAGAGAGCCAAATTTGGCCTCCGCCACTATCATTCTAACAATGTTAGGCAGGGGTCGGCGAGGAAAAACATATCATTCTGGAATTTGTGGTCCTGAATATGCATCTAGTGGCAGATTTGTGCTCTACAATAGCTTACATGCAAGTTTAAATATAGGGAAATGAATGGGATGTCATATTTATGTAAATGTACTGGCAACTGTACTCGTTTTTTTTTTCATAACAGTATATCACAAAGATACTATTAAAACGTTTTATGCTGATTGCCGAACATTTTGGCTTCAAGAACTTTAAATTTGAAGAAATTATGTTTTTGAGATATCTTAAAGCCTAAAGTCGTAAACCATGTGGATAGGTGTCTAAGACAAAAAAAAAGACCCCCCCCCCCCCCCCGCAGTGGTGTCTAAGAAAGTTGATGTAATTTTTATTCTATCTCTTGTGTTAGTCTGTACACTGTACCTCATTTTATCGTTTTTCTGGTAGCTGATCTATATATTCTCACCATTTGCCTATTTAACTTTTAGTATGTGTTCTTTTCATGTATAAAATCTTTGAAGGTTGTTACTTATTTTAATTACACATGCTGTTCTCTTTATTACAGGTAAAGCAGATGAACTGTCTTTGCACAGAAAGCTTGGCTGCTCTGATTTTACATTGGCTTGTTTACTTGACTTTCCAAAATCTCCTGAAGGGGACGTTATGTCACCTTGTTTTCCCAGTCCGCGGAAGTAATCAATCTAGTAAGGAGGTTTAGTAGTTTGATTATGTGTGGAAGAAATTTTGAGTGTGTACAAACTTTCTCGGGATACACAATTAATCTATCAGCTGTTCTCATCCGACATGGTCAGTATGAAGCTGCTCAGGTACTATATTTTGTGTTTGGTCTAAAATTCATTAGAAACATACATTTTATTTGAGTGTTGCTTTATCTATATAGTATCAACTATCAGATAAGCTCTCCTTATCCTCAGTTTTTATCTCTAACAGAATCTGCTGGGAATTCTGGAAACATACTTGAACAATGGAAAAGTATCCCATACTGGTCAAGATGCAGATACTGCATGTTCAGCATACCTTCATCTCAATGGATTTTGCCTTCTGATGCTTGCACATGATGAAGCAAATATTATTTTGAGAGAATCCAAGGTTCATGATGCTATCCGATGCTTTTTCAGGTACTACCTTTTCACTATGTGGATTGAGCCTTTTTGACTATCATCAAATGACACATTTCTGGAAACCATCTTTAGTGGTTGGGTACTGCAATAATTTTTCCTTTATTTTTCCTATTGTGATACTGGACAAGAAATATATAACATAAACATATATGTTACTGAGCTATTTAAAATAATAGGACCGCCTCAGTCTAATTGGTTATTTAAAAGCTTAACTCACAGACCAGGCGCTTGATCTACTTCTGCTGTTTAAGTTAAGTGGTAGCTGATAACATTTGATTTGCTGTGTTTTGAAAAAGAAAGGGATTGCACATCCCTTTATTAGAAATTACAAGTAACTAAGCGAGCTTGCTATCAGCGTATCATCAGGACATCTCCTTGTGTCTTTTGATAAATATCGGTAAGGTATTTTCAATCGAGGAATCCAATAGTTTAAGTTAATGTTTTCTGGTATATAGGAGTCACTTCATTTGATCTAATTACCTAGTTCTCGGGTTCTGTGAAACAAATAGTTCAGACTTGAGAACTGAGGCAACACCATATATTAGTTACTGCTATCGGATCAAAGGTATGTAACTGTTAGGGTCACCTTATTTAAGATAAAAAATTGCAGGAGTGTTTTAGTTTATCTTTGAGGGGGTGGGGTGTGGATCCATAACTCAAGATGGATGGAACCCTGAAAGGCTTGAAAATCTACTAAGAATAAAACTCTTGGATGTGTATACTTGCCTCATTGTTTAATTCCCTTTTTTAATATTGCTGGGTTTTTTTGTTATAAACTTATAATTGGGCTACCTGTTGGCACTTTCTCTGGTATTAACTTGACAAATACTTTGGAAAACAGGGCTGCATCCGGGTATGAAGCTCCAAAGGCTTTGCAGAACTTTTCAATGGAAACAGGGTTTCAAGTTTCTGGTGATATCATTCTCCTAGCTTTACTTGTTCTATATATACTGCATTTAATTTATATTCTAACTGTTTGGCTTTTTTTTCCAGGGGAATCTAGATCTATTCCTCTGTGGAGACTTAACTACTATGAGTGGGCAATGCAAATTTTTGAGCAACACTCCATGAGCGAGGGGGCATGCCAATTTGCTCTTGCTGCTCTTGAACTAGTTGATATTATTGACGGTTTAGATAATGGAATTGAAGCTGAGGGTCTTCCAGAGACCGCAGCAATGATTAAAGGACGACTTTGGGCTAATGTATTCAAGTACAGCTTGGATTTGAAAAACTTTCGAGATGCATATTGCGCGATCGTCTCAAACCCAGATGATGATAGCAAATACATCTGTTTGAGGCGTTTCATCATAGTTCTTTGTGATCTTGGGGAGACAAAGGTTTGGCATATTAAGTTGCTTATTTGCATTATTCTTTACATCCCTACCCCCCCCCCCCCCCATGGACATCTTTAGTGTTTTGAGGTGGACCATAGTGCCTAGGCAGCAATAAGTTGCTTGGCAGGCACGTGATTTTGTAAGTATTATAGCTAGTGATCATGACACATGTTTACAGCCATACATAGGTACCATAAGACTTCTATCTTGGTCGTTGACATGATCTACCACATTTGATTTTGTTCTACATTTTTTGTATTCTTACATTGGGGAAAAGGGGGTTCATGCATTGTGGGATGTTGTCCAATGGGTTTCTGCTAAATTTTGTTAGAGAAAATCTACAAGTGTGCGATGTGTTAGCTATTTGATTATTTTCTTTTCGATTGTATAAGCAAGGTATGTTAACGGATCAAACTGGCTCCTCTAACTACTATTATTACCTAAAAATCATGACTCGGATGCTTTTGTTGTGTTTGAGCCTTTTTTTTTTCTTGTCTTCCTTTTATTGTATGAAATGCATGTTGGCCAGTCTATCAGCCTTTCCCCTAAACATTGTTAGTTAAAATCATTTTCTGTATGCAGGACATATTGACCAATCTAGCAGGCTTTTCTCTAAACATCATTAACTAGAAGTCATATAAATCAAATTTGTCTCTGTTTGTGTTATCCAGTTGTTTTCCTCATCATTTTATGCAAGGGATGCTCACTATTAGATTGGAGCTTAGATTTGCCTCTCATTCATGGAAATAGGTTCTTTGCAGTGGAGAAATTCCATTCACTGACTTGGTAGAGAAAGTGGAGCAAGAGCTCTTCTGGAAGGTTTGCCCATTTTCAGCATAGTCCAATCTTTGTGTCTTCCTTTCTTCCATGCCGATCGTATTTTTGTTTTTGCAGGCTGAACGCTCAGATCTGTCGTCTAGACCAAATCTCTATAAGGTTCTTTATTCATTTGAAGCACATAGGAACAAATGGAGGAAAGCAGCTTCATACATGTACAGGTACTTTGTTAGATTGAATAGAGAAGGTAATGCAGGTGGCACCCACCAACTTCCTCACGTGTTGCAAGAGAGGTTGCATGCTTTATCTGCTGCTATCAACGCATTGCACCTTGTTGATCCCTCATTTGCATGGCTCGACTCTATTTGCGAAGCTGATGATCAAATTTCTCCAAGTAAAAGACCTCGGAATCTTTTGATGGAGAACTGTATGTTTTGTCAGACTTTTAATTGCTGTTTGATTTGTCTCATTGCACAGCAACATGCTTGGTTTAACTTTTGTTCTCTATTCCAGCGGCTTTTGGCACAGATTCTGAGCTCTCTAGATTACAATTTTGTGTTGACATTGAAATCCTTGAAAAAGAATACATATTAACAGAAGCACAGTATATGCTCAGCTCTCGGAAATCAATATTTGATTTTTCAGGTATCTCCAAAACTAATCATAGGACTTTATTGCTTGAATTTATGGAGATCAATATCTTAATTAACAATCTTTAATAATTAACACTGTAATCCGTTTTTGTGTGACTGCAGAAAGCCAATCAATTGAGTCCCTGATCGATATTCTTATAAATGAGAAATTGTATGACTTGGCCTTCACAATTGTGCTCAAATTTTGGAAGGAGTCAGGAATGAAAAAGTACTTTGCATTTACTTGTTTGGTTTCTTTTTTTTTTCCTGTACCGCTGTCTTAATGGGTTGCTGTTTGTCATGTTCTCTTCTGTGTCTATGATTCAGTCTGACTATCTATTGTTTCAATTGTTCTGTTGTAGGCAATTGGAGCATGTCTTTTCAGTCATTGCTCAGCAATGCTGCCCGAACAGAGCAGACAACAAATCAAGGTATGTTGACTGGCCCCTCTAATTGCACATATGGACAGATTATTGTGCTGACAAATAATAGTGTTAACTAATGACTTGAGATGTAACCTAATTACAGGAGAAGTTTGACTGGCAGTCAACAAGTGCCACTGCTGCCTTCTTCTGAGAACGATGCATGGGAGATCAACAATAAGAGTATTCCTGTGACCCAACAACTGCAGGGGAGCAACCACTGGGAAACCCTTGGACTATATTTGGTATGTCTTTATTTGAATGGTCTTCTTTTATTACTTTTCTCTAAGTTGGTACCTCAACTTGTTTGGGACTTAAAAGCTTTGTTGAGCTTTGGTACACAGGGACAGTCGCGAATAGAAATGGAGTAGGAGTTTTGATTGATAAGAGCCTCAAGAATGGTGTGGTGGGAGTGAGAAAGCAAGGAGATAGGATTATCTTAGTCAAGCTTGTCGTTGGTGATATGGTCTTGAACGTAATTAGTGCCTATGGCCCCCAAGTAGGCCTATACGAGAGTGCTAAGAGACAGTTTTGGGAAGACTTAGATGGTCTGATTAGAGCCGTACCTAGTAGTGAGAAGCTTTTTATAGGAGGAGATCTTAATGGGCATGTAGGTACTACAAGCGCAGGTTTCGAGGCAGTTCATGGAGGTTTTGGGTATGGTAGTAGGAATCAGGAGGGGGAGGAAGTTCTGGACTTCGCGGTAACTTTTGACCTGATGATAGTCAACACTTTCTTTAGAAAGAGAGAATCTCATCTAGTGACCTTCAGTAGCGGACAACACTCTAGCCAGATTGACTTTGTCCTCGTAAGAAGAAAGGACAAACGAGCACGCTTGGGTTGCAAGGTGATACTAGGGGAGTGTGTTGTTTCTTAACATAAGCTTTTGGTGGTAGACTTTCGTTTTCAGGTGCGTGCCCGTAGGGATAAACAAGCTAAGATTGAAAGAATAAAGTAGTGGAAATTGAAAGGGGAGACGTCAGAGGTATTCAGGGAAAGGGTTATCAAATAGAGCTCTTGAAGGAAGAAGAGGACATAAACAACATGTGGGAGATGATGGCAACCAATATTTGGAAGGTGGCCTCAGAGGTGTGTGGAGTAACCAAAAGAAGTGGAGGCGAGGCTAAAGATACTTGGTGGTGGAACGAGGAAGTCCAAAGAGCTATTAAGGAGAAGAAAGAATGCTATAGACGCTTGTACCATGACAGTAGTGTGGACAAGATAGAGAAGTACAAGGTGGCAAAAAAGACTGCAAAACGAGCTGTAAGTGTGGCAAATGGTAGAGCGTACGAGGATCTTTACCAACATTTGAGTATGAAGGAAGGAGAGAAGGATATTTATAGGATGGCTAGGGTTCGTGAGAGAAAGACAAGGGACTTCAACCAAGTTAAGTGGATTAATGATGAAAGGGAGCATCTCTTGGTGAAGGAGGTTGGGATCCGACATCGATGGCAAGAGTATTTTGACAGATTGTTAAATGGTGAGAATACAGGACACAACCTTTCAGTTGGATGACTCTTTTGATGACACCAATAGACGCATTGTGCGGAGAATCCAAGAATCTGAGGTCTGAGAGGCGTTGAAAAGGATGAAAGGAGATAAGGCTATGGGACCGGATGGTATCCCAATCGAGATGTGGAGATGCCTCGGGGACATAGCTATAGTATGGCTAACCAAGTTGTTCAACCATATTTTTCGATCGAACAAGATGCCTGACGAGTGGAGTAGAAGTATATTGGTACCGATCTATAAGAATAAAGGGGATATTCAAAGTGTACTAATTACCGGGGAATTAAGTTGATGAGCCATATTATGAAGCTATGGGAGAGAGTTATCAAGCATCGCTTGAGAGCAATAACGCGGGTCTCTATGAACCAATTTGGTTTCATGTCCGGAAGGTCAACCATGGAAGCCATTTTCTTAATAAGACAAGTTATGGAGCGGTATAGGGAGAAAAAGAAGGACCTACACATGGTTTTTATCGACTTGGAGAAAGCTTATGATAAAATACCAAGGAATGTTATGTGGTGGGCTTTGGACAAACAAAAGTCCCAACGAAGTACGTCGGGCTCATTAAGGACATGTACAACAATGTTATGACTAGTGTTCGAACAAGTGATGGAGACACTGATGACTTCCCGATTAGGATAGGACTACATCAAGAGTCAGCTTTGAGCCCTTATCTGTTTGCCTTAGTGATGGATGGGGTTACAAGGGACATACAAGGAGACATCCCTTGGTGTATGCTTTTCGCGGACGGTGTAGCGCTAGTTGATGAAAGCCGGACATGAGTGAATCAGAAACTGGAGTTATAGCGGGAGACTTTAGAGTCCAAAGGTTTTAGACTCAGTAGAACTAAAAATGAGTATATCAGATGTGACTTCGGCACTACTACTCGGGAGGAGGAAGATATTAGTTTGGAAGGTCAAGTAGTGCCTACGAAGGATACCTTTCGATATTTAGGATCAATGCTACAGAGAGATGGGGATATTGATGAAGATGTTAGCCATAGAATCAAAACAGGGTGGATGAAGTGGCGCCAAGCATCTGGTGTCCTATGTGACAAAACGGTACCACAGAAGCTAAAAGGCAAGTTTTATAGGACGTCGATTAGACCTGCTATGTTGTATGGTGCAGAATGTTGGCCTACGAAAAGACGACATGTTCAACAGATAAGTGTCGCGGAAATGCGTATGTTGCGTTGGATTTGCTTTCATACAAGAAGGGATCGAGTTCGGAATGATAATATACGTGATAGATTAGGGGTAGCACCAATTGACGAAAAGCTTGTCCAACACCGGTTGAGATGGTTTGGACATGTCCAACGAAGATCTCCAGAGGCACCGGTGCGTAGTGGAATCCTAAGCCAGGATAGTAACGTGAAGAGAGGCAGAGGAAGACCGAAGTTGACTTGGGTAGAGGCAATAAAAGGAGACTTGAAAGGATGGAATATACCTAAAGACTTAGCCTTAGATAGGAGTGCTTGGAAAATAGCTATTCACGTGCCTGAACCCTGATTGCTTCTGCTGGGTTTCAACTCTAGCCTACCCCAACTTGTTTTGGACTTAAAGGCTTTGTTGTTGTTGTTGGGGATCTCTATCCCCGGAGTACTGTGTTGAGCTATATTCCCTCCTTTTCTTTTTGTAAGGCTTGATTTGACCTGGTGCTGTCTCCAAAGTCACACTTTGACCGTTAATATCTCATATATTATAATGTTCATAACTATGAATTTGATGTCATATGGAAGGGTTTTCAAATATGAATCCAATAATACCAAATCTGTGTGGTATCATTTGCAAATTCTCCCAACTTGCTTGGGACTAAAAGGCTTTGTTGTTGCTGTTGTTGTTGTTGTTGTAAGTGTCAGTAAAAAATTAACAAGTTCAAATCTTGGGTTGCACTAAGGAGTTGTTTTGTTGGCATTTGGCTGGGGCCATAGGCATCTCCTTCCTCTTTGCTCTTGGCCCAGTGGGTGAGTCTTAGGTGGCTCCCATGGGTGAGATTCTTTTTAGTTTTCCCGTCTTGGGGTGTGTGGGTGTTTGTATTTGGGCTTTTGCCCCTCCTTTCTTCTTAATATAATGATACACAGCCCTCCTCCGTGTTCAAGAAAAAAAAATCTTGGGTTGCGTGTGCCCCTTGCAAAAAAGAAAAGGAGCGCATACTTTGTTACTGTTGACCGTCAGTCAGCAGCGGCATATACATACGAAAATTTACTATTCTTTTACCATTCTACACATCTCAATGTTGTATGTAGTGTTACATGTAAAAGCTAAGTACAATAGAAATGTAAGAATATATATGTTCTGGTTTATTAATTATATGGTACATTCTACTTAGCTTGATAAATATATGATTTATAAAACGCAAAGCACTGCACTACATACTGCAATAGTCAAACAAATCGTGGTTTCCTAAAGAACTGTAGAAAACCATGGTTTTGACAAACTGTGGTTTCACACCTTACAAATGCAGTATTAAAAAACTGTAGTTGTAGGATACTTTAATATCCAAACAAGCACTTAATGTACTGTGTTTGATATTTTCTGTGTTCCCAACAATGAAACAGTACCTGTATTGCGTTGTCAATACTTTTGTTCCTGTTTTTGCAGGATAAATACAAAGATCTGCATCCTAGGTTGCCAGTCATTGTTGCTGAGACGCTTCTTTATACTGATCCCGAGATTGAGCTACCACTTTGGTTGGTTCAGATGTTCAAGGTGGGTTTCTGATAAATACTGTCTGTGGCTAATTATATATTTTTGTACAATAGTGCTGATCGACCTCTTGTTTGGCTGCTGCCCTTTGCATTTTTTCAGACTAACAAGGCAGGGAACAAGATCTCGTGGGGCATGTCTGGGAAAGAGGCAGATCCTGCCGCCTTATTCAGACTATACATAAACTACGGACGCCATGCAGAAGCCACCAACTTGCTGGTGGAGTATTTAGAGTCGTTCGCATCATCGGTAATGGATCGACTGACTGAAATATCCAAATGCAAGATCTTTACAATCTTAACATATAAATCCCTGGGAACCATTTGCAGAGGCCAGCGGACCTTCTCCACCGCAAGAAGATGTCCGCCGCTTGGTTCCCGTACACGGCCGTGGAGAGGCTGTGGTGCCAACTGGGTGACATGCAACGCGCCGGCCACAGCGTGGATCAGTGCGACCGGCTCAAAAAGCTGCTGCACGGAGCCCTGATGAGCCACCTACAGCAGGTTGGTACCGGCACATCCATCCGAAAGCAAAACCCCGCTCTGTTGCGCATGTCAGTGCTGATTGCGTTCATGTTGTTCCACGATTGTAGGTTGTGGTCGACTCGGATGACGTGCTGTCGTCAGTTGGAGATGGGCAGGGGATGGAGGGCCAGAGCAGCTGAAGTCCTGAAGATCATGTTAGTGTTGATATGTGGTGTAGAGAAACGATGCGCCACCGCTGAATCCTGTATGTAATTGTTTGTATGGTTAGCTGAGTTACCCCTGTGTCTCATATAGAATAGAAATTATTTGAAGGAAAACAAAGATGGAGCGATGGCACCATTTGTTACGTGAACATGGAATTGCCGCTGATAACTAGTTCACCTCCCATATGTAGAAGTAGAAGATGATTGACGCCTCCATTACAGCACTGGTATTGTATCGATTCTGGGTGTCTGTAGCTTTGTGAATTGACGCCTCCAGACTGAGAGAAAGACGACCAGGGAGAAGGGCGCGGCGCGAGCAACGTGTCGCCGCATGTTATTAGGTTACTTGGGCGTAGACTGGTGAGCGGTCGAAAACCACGCAGCCGCCAATGCGTGCGGCCGAGCTAGGGCGGATTACGGATATGCACGGCAGGGAGGAACCATCCCCGAGCTCGACACGGTGCAGCAGCTAGCCCCGAATGGATATATATGTACCATGGTCCATAGGCCTTAGGCGTTGAAGAGTTATTACTACCGGGTAGGAATGGTTGAAGCCATGCTCAATCGCAAAAGGATATTATCCAAATGCATTTCAAGTAATTGTAGTAAAACCCGACCTGTGAATCTGGATATATAGGAAACCAGCAAGGTCTATCAACTGCTATATGTATGGCCAATATTGAACGAGAGGGCAGTCACCCAACAACCAACAACTAATATACTACGTACTGTACATATAGCAATAATTTGGTCATCGACAACGACGCCTCTTGTAGTCTCCTTTAAATAATCGTCCTCGCCCTCGTAGAACCTCGCCTCCACTCCACAGCTAGCACTTCTCTCCTAGCTAACTACACGATGCTCCGATCCGATCCTTCTTAGTACATAAGCAAGGTCTGTTTAGATCTCATAACCTAACAGCTACTTTCTCCGTTCTGATTAAGTCATAAGTGGAGGCTGTTTACATCTGTCAACCAAAAAGATTAAGCTGCATGCATGCGTCACTGCGCATGCATTTCACTCCCTTCTTAATTCTTTTTTACAGTGTACTAGCATGCACCTGCATTTATTTAAAGATTCAAAGCTTAAATAAATATGTATTATTTAGTTTCATCACCAAACTAATAATGAATCTCTAAATTTTGTGACTGGGTCTGGGTTATTTATATCTTGGAACTTAACGATGGTGGGTTAATCAAACTTTAGTTTGCATGCATATATACCGTTAGTCGTATTACTACCATTATCAATATATTTATTATGTTGCCAATACTGATCTTTTGATGATGCCAGGGTGGTCATCGTCCACTCGTCTTTGGCTGGCTAGCTAGAACTAGCACTAGCAACAGCAGCATGTGGATTGTGGAGGCTGAAGGTGGGGCAGGGCGACGACAGCCCGTGGCTTCGGTCGACCAACGGCTTCGTGGGGCGGGCGGTGTGGGAGTTCGATCCCGACCTTGGCACGCCGGAGGAGCGCGCCGACGTGGAGAGGCTCCGCCGCGACTTCTCCGACCACCGCTTCCAGAGGAGGGAGTCCGCCGACCTCCTCATGCGCATGCAGGTAGTACACAATATATATGATTATTCATTCACACAACAAAACTCTCGAGTATCGAACAAGTACGTATGGAAAACAACCCATTGATTTTTTGACTACAAATGCAAAGCTTTGGCTCCTCTACGTACGTAATCGATTCACCCAAAATAACTAGCTCACTTAACTGATCGATAGTCTAGATTTTCGAAAAATGAAAAAACTAGAACATCGATGTGTAAAAGAAATTCATTCTAGAGAATCTCCGACAATAATAATTATTATTATACAACTCAAATAACTACTAAGCAGGATTGTTCGTTGCATGAGTGACTAGTTCAGTTAAATTGCACAGACACAACTATACTTAATTAAAGAGGCTCGACATGATTGAATACTACTGTAATTGTTTATCCACATGTCAACATCGACAACAAGGGGATCGCACGGATGATGTGCCCACGGAATTCACTTCCTATAAACGGCGATATGGATAGGACCATGTGTCCACCGAATTTACTTCCTACACCTATACGTTTTTTATCCATCGTTCTCACTTTCCGAGTCAAACATACTTTACTCCCTCCGTCCCAAAAAAAACACAATCCTAGCTTTAAACCTGGACACGCGCTCTGTGTAGGTTCAAAGCTAAGATTACGTTTTTTTAGACAGAGGGAGTAGTTTTGACTAAATATTTAAAATAAAATATTAATATTTTAATATAATTAGTATCATTAGATAGATCGTTGAATCTATTTTTATAATAAATTATTCGAAGATACAAATGTTACTAATATTTTACAAACTTAATCAAATTTGAGAAAGTTTGACCGATAAGATTCCCAAAGTGACACTTAAATAGGGATGGAGGAAGACACCTATATATATAAATGTGACATGTGCTGTTGAGTTAGGACCCATCTAGAGTGCAAGAATTTAATTTACGACAAAACAGAAACAACTTGAGGTCCTATTCTATTATATTAGGGATCTATGGTTCCGTATGGCACGATTTCTCTAGCAGGTCCACGAGCTGTTTGAAATTATTTGTGTCAAACGAATATTTTTCCAACAGCTTTCATAGGTAAAGCTCTTCAAAACATGCTTTCACAAGAAATGGTATAGGATGAAGCTAAAAATATCTGCTTCTTCTAGCCTCAACTGGCTACATGGGATTTGTGAGAGCATGTTTTGAGAAGTTTTACATGTAGAGCAGGTTTGTCAAATGGTTCACCAAAATAACTTAAGTTCACCGATACAACTAATAGTAGAGATGAAGTAAAAAAGTTGTGTTTTAGAATTACACAGTGCAACACACGCACATTCACCCTACCCCTATAAGCAACTTCAAAGATTGAGCTGATAAATCATCGGGATTGATGGAGTTAACAAAGTGCCTCACTGTCGATGGGATGGTCGCCACCGTAACCACTAGGCTACGTGTCCTTTTGCAAGAAAAAAAAGGTAACCGTTGGCCCATCCGTTTTCGTGGATTATCAAAGCATGTTTGTCCGGTTGATGGAGTACGGTTGATGGAGTACGGTTGTCCGGTGCTCTAGCAGCATGTTTGGCACATGCTTAAACTACATCACCCTGAGGCTTCTCGGCGAGGAGCCATACGGCAACAACCGTGCATTGGCTAAAGGGCGTACTTGGATTCTATCCCATGGTGGTGCAACCTTCATTCCCCAGTGGGGAAAGATATGGCTTTCGGTATTCTTTGCCATCCATACATGTGTACAACACGTTTCTCATCCATAACATCTGATTCTCTATGGCAGTGTCATTGACACTACCTCTTCTTTTGTATCAATTGATTGAAGGTACTCGGAGTGTTCGATTGGTCAGGAAATAATCCAATTTTCCCTGAACTATGGATCGCTCCTCAGTTTCTTCCATTTCATCCATGTATATATTCCTTCTATGAAATTGTGTCATTACAACTTCCGGTACATTATATATTGGATACGCGTGAATCTGTTGAAATAAGTTTGCTATATCTGCCAATGTCCATCTCCTTTTCAGGGAAATTCTGGTGCCTAAGCCGTATGGTATATCTGCCAATGGCTTATCTTTACCGCAAGAAATTCATCGGACCGATTACACCAACCGGGCATTAAGAGAGGAGATCTGTTAGATAATCTACTGTTTCTTTGTGTGAACACACAGCAAGGGAAGACAGCGTCGAAAAGACTCACTGCTGTGGTATTGTAGCCGCTGTAGAGGCAGACGCCGAACGGCTCACCTGCCGTACTGTGGCCACATGCAGGGACAGACGCAGAAGTCAGTCCTGCTATATTATCTAGTCACTGTTGTAGCAGTGCAGCTGTACTAGGACTAGATGGATATAGTTGTATATATAGTTTGTCACTGCAACTCAATAAAGAGAGTTCAGTTTTGCCATCTCCTATACAGGGTTCCGACCAACGCTGGTGCTTGTACTGTATGTGTATGCTCTATTCTCTCTCTTTTCTTCAACCTCTAGCCATAGTGTGTGGTCGGACAATGCTTGCTCGACAACACTAGCGGGTGCTCGACAAGACTGGTGAGTGGTCAACTCACCTGAGCCGGTGATCCTGTGGGCTAACAAGCGGTATCAGAGCCGTACAAGCGTCATCGCCGGACTAACCGCTGGCGATGACGAACGGTTCGGAGATGGGTGACAACAGTGGCACTGCTGTGGCTGCTCAGCCACGACCGGAGGTCGTTGTTCGCACGGTGCGGGAGGTCAGCGGCACCAGTTGGCCGACGCTGACTCGCACCAACTATGGAGAGCGGTCGGTGACCATGAAGGTCAAGCTTAGATCCCGACGGCTCTGGAATGCTATTGACAAGGACACCGACAATGAGGAAGATGACATGTCAGCGTTAGAGGCTATCCTTGCTGCTGTACCAGTGGAGTACTAGGAGCCGTTGGGGGCGAAGAGCTCGGCTAAGGAGGCGTGGGAGGCTATTGTGGCGATGCGCGTCGGTTCCGTCCGCAAAGAAAGAAGGCGACGCCCGGCTTCGAAGCGAGAGCCAACCTCAAGTTCAAGTTCAAGGATGGTGAAACGGTGGAGGACTTCTCCCTCCGCAGAGACGCCATCGCCAAAATTCAAGAGCCATGGAGTCACCATCGATAAAGAGGAGACGGTCTCCAAGTACCTCCACTCCGTGCCGGCAAAGTACATCCAGATCGCTCTCCATAGAGACGATGCTGGACTTGTCTACCCTCACCATTGAGGATGTGACAGGCCGTCTACGGGCGGTGAATGAGCGCTGGAGCAGGCGACAGCAACGAAGGACAGCGGCAAACTGCTGCTGACAGAAGAGGAGTGGGCTGCTCGGAGGAACTCCGGGAAGGTAACCTTCTCCAGCTGCGGTGGAGATGGCAAGTGCCGCGGCAAGGCTTCTTCGGAGAAGAAGAAGCAGGTCGACCCCAACGCCTGTCGGTGCTGCGGGA